TTTTATCTTCATTATAAAGGTAAGAAACTCTTGTGAAAAATGAAAATTTCATGATTATAAAATATATATATAGGGCATAACTAACAATAGATAATGTGAGTAGTTCAAAGACCAACAATATCTTTATAATAATTTTCATTAGCACACCGATGTACTAATAAAAAGATATAATTACGTTTAGTATAAATTTCTCAGAGATGAGATATTTTCCCGTAGTAAAAAATAACCTACATGTTGACCCGGATAACCCGCTATCATCATCAAAATCCCTCCATTGGTTTTCCCGTGATGCGGTCAAAAACAGACAGACAAAAAAAATTAAAATAATATTGAATATTTCAAAAAAAACCAAAAAAAATATTTAATGTACAGCTTCGACTCAGTTAGATTTTTTTTAGATGTATCGATAGATCTTTATTAAAATATTCTATATTTAACAAATTTTATTTTAAACCGATGATGTAAAAACCCAACGAAAATAATGAAAGAGAATGGTTTAAAACAATTGAACTGAAAAACCCCCGGAAACTGGGCGTAATTATTAAATTGAAAACCAAGTTCGACGCACAATCGGCAAGGGGTGGCCTGGTTCCATTCATCGAGTCATACCTACCTTATTAATAAACGAAGAACTAAATGACATTGTCCTTTTTCATATGATTGTAGAGATATCTAAATGTTGGGAGCTCTGGTGCAGATTCGACTCCAGTTTGAGGTATTTTTTTAGAATATGGATATTTCTAACTTTTTATCCCAAACCAGACCAAAAGTGACAATTTGGACTTCAAAATTGGTGATAATATACAAATCACGCTTGTAAAAGCACTTTTAATACGAAGATTTGTATGTGTGGGTATGTCACAACTGGATATAATATATAAATAAAGAAGAGTCAATGTTTTTAATAAAGTCACTAAAAGCACCAAGAGGTGCTCCCGAACGAAGTAAGAGTAAAATGTTTATTTGGCTTATCTAGACACATAGAAACTAAAATGACAACAAATATCACAGTATCGCTTAGAACCAAAATACTTATCAACAGATACTTATAAAACATATTTAAAAATATATTTAATAATTTCAAAATTTTAAGTGATACCTAAAAATAGCCAAAAGTCTATGAAATATAAAACAAAGGCTTTGTGAAACAATCAAGAGTGAAATCCAGTAATAATCAAATCGAGAGCAGTGTTCGGCGCACAATTGATAGGGTGAACTTTTACTCCGTTATAGGAAACTCTGCTATATGTATAATATGCCACCTATATAGGTATTGATTGGCATTTTTATATATCTATGCTTTATATAAATTACATACAATAATTACTTCGGTGGTATATTGGTTAGCATGTACGGCTTTACATCCGGAGGTCCTGGGTTCGAATCCCGGGTCGGGCCGAGTTTAATTATTGAGTCTTTCTGTTAGGAAGTCTCACTAACAACACAGAGTTGGGAAGTTGGGGGTGTTTCACCCCCGTGTCTCGGAAAGCACATAAAGCAGTCGATTCTACACCTCGAGTGTCGAAATATCGTCCCATCGGAATTTGAGAGTGATAGGAATAGAGAGTGCACGTTGTGTCTGCGCGTACACTTGTGCACTATAATGTCTCCTGCGCAGTTGGCTAGTCTCAGCGAAATTTGCCGCCGTGGTCGGAATCGATCAGGACGTTACTACATATATGATAAAATTTTCAGTTTTGGCAAGTAAACGTAAAAGACACAGTAAATTTACTTCTCTAATAAAGGTAATGGGTTCGATTTAGAGAAAATAATTCAATTCGGTCATACTATACGAAACTAACAAACACTACCATATTTGGAATATTAGTACATTTTGAGTAAATAACATCTAAGTCTACCTACTTCTAAGGTACCTACCTAGCTTAAATAAAACTATCTTTTTGGATTATTTTGTAGATTTATTTTGATTTTTGGTTCCCGACGTTTCGAATGCTTTATAGCAATCATGGTCACGGAAGAGACTAAGGTTATAGACGTCTCAAACTGTTTGAGAAAAATTAAAATAAATCCGCGAAATAATCCGAAAAGATAGTTTTATTTAAAACGTCAAGTATTCGCGTAAATCTAAGAAAACAACAAATTACTAAAAAGTACATATACTACGGTACGGAACCCTTCATGTGCTAATTCCACTCACACTTGACCGTTTATTATATATGTACATAGATACGTAAATTCTATTCACATATGTTTAACTCAAATATTCAATAATGTTTTTGGTCGATTTCTGTCCACTAGGCGAATATTTCTTTATAATAAATCAATTATTAGTTAAATATTACAATGCTAAATTAATACAGGGTTAGAGTGAATGTCGCATAAAGCTGTTCACAAGCCCTTTAATGTACCAGTAACGCCATCTAGTGATCCGTTACTCTCAATACTGCTACGGCTAAAGTTATAGTTGAATACTTTAAGATGTAAAGTTTACACTATGATAAAAAAATGTGTATGTATCTATGTATAAGCCCTCTTTAACGTCCCACAGCTGGGAGTGGGCTTCCCTTCAATACGAGGGAGATCAGACTATAGTTCACCAAGCTGAATTATTACGGGTTGGCGGACTTCAAATGTCTTTCGAAAACTTGCTAGATCCTCTCAGACATTCAGGTTTCCTCACGATGTTTTCCTTCATTGTAAGATAAGTGGTAATCATGTTGAAAATGATTCGCATATGAAAATATCAGAGGTGCGAGACCCGAGATTTCAACCCGGTTCATCCGGTTTCCCAAGTGAGCGCGTTACCACAAGGTTACCACTGCCCTTAAAAAAATATAATATATTAATGAATAAATAAAGAAAAGATAATTTTTCAATATAACTGGTGACTTTGGTTAGGTATAAAAGGAAAAATTATCATTCTTTTTTGTAATCTTGTTGCAAAACATATGTATATCTACCTATGTGTATTTTTTTATTTTTTATTGAATGAATATTTACGTACAATAAATATAAAACAGTAACATAATATGTCGACCTGATATCACCAACTACGCCAAGAGTCGCAGGTTCCATTCCCGAGCCAGTGAATATTAAGAATGTTCACACAAATATTTATTGCTACCAATTACCAGGTAGGTAGGTACCTCAAACACCTCGTGGCATTTTAATATGTAAATATGTGAAAAAGTGTACTTAAATCGCAGTCAAAAGCTGCCTTTGTAAAATATTTATAACATGAAGATTATAAGTCATATCTAATTGCTAATTCAAATTATCCTTATTTATTACAATAAATAGTTTATTATAAAATTTATTAATATCAACAAATTAGTATATTAGCAAAAATAAAAATAATATATTCGACGATACGTTTGGCTCAGTTTGTAGCGACCCTACTTGTTGTGCCAGCGATCGCGGGTTTAAGTCCCGCTGGAGGCATTCATTTGTGTGATGAGTACGAATGTTTGTACTCCAGTCATGGGTGTTTATATTTATAATATGTATGTATTTAAAGTTATATAAGTGTAGGGTATTAACTATCTGGTATCCATAACACAAGCTCCAGTAAGTTCCATGGAAAGCTGCGAGAGCTTTCCATGGAACTAGATGGTGCTGTGGGTTTTTGTCCCAACATTTATTTATTATTTATTTATTACTTATTATATTTTCCTCGATCATTACTATTCACTTTGTACTTTACATATTGATAAGGAATGGCTCAAAGAAGAGCTTTCAAACTCACAATTAAAATACTAAAATAAGTACCAACCAAAGAACTTAAAAAAATCTCGAAAAAAGTAAAAAAAAGAAATAGGTTAATATAACTCATAATATTTAAAAATTAAATTGAAATATTTATAAAATAGTTTTTAGTTCTGTTACAGCAAAAGTTCAAAGCCGTCGGACGCTTGTATCCTCAATACTCCATTGTTATTACTCACAATATATTTATTTAAAAAAATATTAGGGTTATAAGCATATTTTGTAGTTAATTTATTATTTAATCAAGATAAACTTACTTATAATATAAGTATGTAAATATTTCTCATATAATTTAATTTAGGTTTAAGAAAAGCTTAGCTTTAAAAATTTTACTATAGTAATTTATAGCAATTACAATTTAATTCCTTAAGTTGCTGAAGTAATTAAATTAAAGAACAATATTTAATATTTGGACATAAGTACTATATGAGTATCATAATATAATGAAGATTTCTATAAAGTTTTTACTTATCGTCTCCAAAATACGTTCTCACAAGTCACTGAACTTTTAAGTAACGCAAAAAATAATTGACTGCTAGTTAAGAAATTCGATTAAAACAAACACGTGGTAGTAGTCGAAAATTTATCTAAATCTCATAAAAAGGTAGGTTTATCTATCCAGCATCACAGCATAAAAGAAAACAAAAGTTTAAAATAAAAACAATTTAGTTTATTCGTATGGCGTTAACAAATTCTTTTCTCAAATTCTATAATACATCGTTGGTACTGACATCGATTTTGAATTACAAACTAATATGTACACGTGATAGCCATTAGCCACTTACAATTTAATCAACTAATTTACAAATACTCCTCGTAAATCTAAACTGGCAATAAATAAATTACATTAACCGAAGTAAAGCGAGAATCATCGTACACTAAGGATGACTCAAACTTAACAGATATTACGTTACAGAAAAACAAAAACCAAGATTCACATGAAGAACTACATCTAATCGTGATACCTACATGAAATAATCTCTTTTTGGTACCGATCTCACTTTACAATAGAAACAGTAACTTATATATCTGAAGACGCGTCGAAAACAAAAATCACAGTTCATCAAACTTAATACGACAACCCACTAGTGGGCCTACGATATACGATCTCAACATATTTACAAGCCACTTGATATGAAACACACTGGATTTACAATTTTCAACTATGCGTAAGTCTAGAAACAATAAATAATGTCCTCGTGTAATCGTCTTTAACACTTCACTGCCATACCCTAAAAGATTGAACTCCTTCAAGGAAGGCACGTTGGTCTTCAATATATGACGGACACCGGCCGCCTGAGCTGGTCATCGTGCGGGCTGTGCTGGGTCGGAGTCACCGGAGACACAGGTGATGAAGGCGCTGCCCCATACTGGTGGAACAGAGGTGATGAGAAATGTTTCGGTGGAGCCGGCTGCGTGTACAGTGATGAATAGAAAGATGACACTACGGCAGCAGCTGATGACGCCGTCGGCAACTTTTCAGCAGACGGAGCCATTAATTTGGAGAACTGAAGATGGTCCAACTGATGTGGGAAATATGGTGGTACTGCGGAATACGACAAGGCATCTAAATGTCCCACAGTAGGTGCTGGGCCCGCAAAGTAAGGTAGTGGGAAGCTTGGGAATGCGCCAGCGCCAGGAGCAGAGCCGGGTGTGGGAGGTTTGGGCTTCCTCCTTGGCCTGTATTTATAGTCCGGGTGCTCCTTCATATGCAGCGCGCGAAGCCTCTTCGCTTCATCAATGAATGGTCTCTTCTGCATTTCCGTTAGCAACTTCCATTCAGCGCCAAGACGTTTGGAAATTTCCGAATTATGCATCTTAGGGTTGTCCTTTGCGATTTGCCGGCGCTGAAGCCTCGACCAGACCATGAAAGCGTTCATAGGTCTCTTGATGTGGCCCTCCGACTGAGGAGAAGACGCGGGCAGCGGCTGAGGTGCGCTCGGATACTCCGGCAACATGCCAGGATGCATTGAGAACGCATACGGGTGATGACTTAAAGTCGACATTTTGACAAGTTGAATATACACTGGGTTCTATTAGAACATTAGCTAGTATGGCACAATGGTGAATGAGCACAGACGAGAGATTGTGTCGCGTCGAACTCGGGCGGTAGACTGATGGCTCGTTGTGGAGCTCGTATGGGTATCGTTGCGGGGGGCGCGGTCAAGGCGGCGTGGCCCCTACCAATGGGTGGCTTGAGAGTAGAATTCGAGCCCCTCCTCGCCAACTATCGCCGTCCCTATCCTACCTTATACTATTCATCTTCCCTCACTCTCGCGCCAATACCCCTTGGCGCTGCGGAACGTACAGCTGTTTAGAGGCATATCACAAGCTCTCTTATGCATGATATAACCGCTGTAATAGAACTTGGTCTTAAATTTACCTTTATACTTAAGTTTTCTTTCTTTGTATATAGAAATAATTTTTGTTCGAGCTTCTATAGCCAGAAGTGAAAATAAAATTGCTTTATCAACGTTTCATAACGCTAGTCATAAATTCTAAATGAAAAATAAATATAATTATACGTTTCTAAACCTAAATAATAAGTCATACTACGATATAGGTATATAGCTGGTAATATATAATACCTATCGGAAACTAATAACAAAATATTAACTTGATATAAATAGATATTACATAGGTGCAATTAATTCAATACAATTTACCAATGTTAGCACTAAGTATCTCATTTAGAAATAAATTATCCTAAATTATTATTATTATTATACTGTATTATATAATGATATTTTTGGTAAAAACTACACTTTTTATGCACATTTATCGAATGTTTTAATCTTTATGACATAATAAATAAAATTATTAATATCAGAAATAACTAAATGAATAAATAGCTAATAATATGAATTTTACGATCGCTAAGCGCCTCGCTCCATCATAAAACTTAAGCCACGAAAGAATCATTTACAGATAAACTAATCATAATTATTATAGAATAAGGTGAAATTAATTGAATAAGTTTTATTATATTGAGGTAATCGTCTTGTAATTCTTATTTGTCATTAAATAATTTATATACGACTAGCGATTTACCTTCGCTTCTCTCGGGTGCGTCCCTGGGTACGTTTTATTTTTTTTAAACGGAACCTTTATTCTTTTTCTAAAATGAAAGTATCCTAAGTTACTTTTAATTAATTTACCTTATAACATCAGCTATCTGCCAGTGTAAGTCCCATCAAAATCAGTCCAGCCCTTTAGGAGATTAGTCAGAACTAACAAACTAGCAGACAAACATAAAAAATGGTGTTTTTCTTATAAGTATCGTATACAATTTCATATGCATTTAGTAAAGAGTTGTTATTTTGACATTACAAACAGACACTTTAATTTTAATACCTCAAAACAACATTTTATAGAAAAGTTTATAGTAATCTTTATATAGAAATTACAAAATTTAATTTAAAATCACTCTATTTATATATAACCCCTATACCTTTTGTCTGAAGAGTCAGACACGCTTCATTTCTGTACTTCATTTGCGGCACAAAAACAATTGCACTTGCTAACGGGATGACCACCATAAAAATATTAGAAATTGCCATAAAAATATTATTCCCAACAAATATTGTATAATCAATCTCATTTTCTAAAAAATAGAGTTCAAAATTGTTTAAACACCTTCAAGTTTTACCATTGTATTGCAATACTTCTTACTTCTTAGAAGCTCTTTTATTCGAATAATAAAATAATAATTATACCCTAAGCTAGGCATTTCTTATATTTTTATTGCTGCTAGTGCTATTGTCATTTACTGGATAGTTTAAATTGCTTTAACATGCCAAACGTTTTTGAGCTTCGATATTAAGCGTACAATGGCGAGTATAAAGTCATTACTTAATAATAGAGCTTTCATCGAATGAATGAAAGTTTTCAATAATAAAATATGTTATAATAGGTAGATAGAGTCGCCATGAATTATCTCTACATTTTTTTTTATGGGACTAAGGGGGCAAACGGGCAGGAGGCTCACCTGATGGAAAGTGATCACCGCCGCCCATGGACATCTGCGACACCACAGGGCTTGCAGATACGTTGCCGGCCTTTAAGGAAGGTATACGCTCTCTTCTTGAAGGTGGCCAAGTCGTAGCGGTTCGGAAAGACCGCCGGCGATAGCTGGTTCTGTTTGAGATAACGCATGTTGGGAAATACTCTGTAAAGCTCTCCGTATTAGCTTAACTTTAATTCTTAGATAAATTTCTTTAAAGCCAATATAAATTATTAAATATATTTTTTATTTAGTCATATGATGTTAGCTTTCGTCTGTATCTCCCCTTTGATACACAGATAATATTAATATATTACTCAATAATCTAAGAAAAATTTAGAGGATATTCCCATTCTCATATAAAGTTTATAAAAAAATATTATTAAAACAAAATATTCGATAAAAATGTTAGAGAGTAGCTTCCATTTAGATCTTTATTTATAGATGAGGTTAAACTTTTGTACGTTCAACACAAACAGCGCGTATTCGTTTTTCGTGGCATAACGCTACCTGTAACGCCATCTATCTTTATTATTTGTAAAGTAATTTTATTGGCTTCAAACATTTTTTTTTCTATTCCTTTAAATTATTTTAAAAATAAAATATTTTTGATATTATACTTCTTTTGGCACGTTTGGAAGAAAAAATGAGACTAAAATTTTTACGATGCAGTTAACTGCATTCCTTTTACAAACACAGACATATGAAATGAAATCTTTAGCGATTATTGTTTCGTTACGCCAAAGAAGTATAACTTCTAATACGTGCGTACATAAGTTATAAGTACACACGTTTTTGTATGTATAAAATTATTATAGTAATAATAAATATAATAGATATAGTTTTAAATTCTAATCAGTCATTTCAACAAAGACTATTTTAATATTTTTCTTTATCTCTACATTTTTTCTGCAAATCTCACTAATAATATAAATATGAAAGCTTACATATTTGGATGTTTCGACGGATGTTTGTTACTCAATCAGACAAAACGCCAGAATGGCTGAGCAGATCTGGATGAAATTTAGCACAGAGATAGATTATAGTCTGGAATAGCACATAGTTTATTTTTTATGCCCAAAAAAGGCAACATTTGTTTTTGTTTTTCTAGAGACGAATCCGAGCAAAGCAAGGGTGAGCCGCTTGTATATATTATATAAAAATGAAAATTATTTCCTTATATTATTTTCAAAACTTAATTAATATTAAGACAAACACTAATTTTTATTAGTCATAGATATTGTACGAAGTTTTAAATTACCAACACTTAGGTAGGTATCTATATATCAATAAACATCACATGACCTCGGCCCTCAGAGTAAATCCTAGGACTTTAATCCATATATACATAATTCATTATATGTATCAGTAATTTTCATCATTAAATTTTAATTTTATTAAATAATCTGAATGGAGCTTAAAAAGCTAAGTTCGCCATTTTACACCTCATAACGCCATCTAGCTGATATTTTAGCACAAAATCTGTTGATTCAAAATTTAAATCAATCGAGTAAAACTTTCATTAGCCCTTGCAATTCTAAAAGTTCTTAGACTTTAAGTCATTTCAAGATAAATTTTATTACATTTTTATTACTTCGTCGTGTGCCGATTGTACTTTTATTTTTTAAAAGCACTAAGGTTTAGTGATCATAAAATTTTGAAAAACAGGTAAAAATTGTATTTTTCTCTTAAAATACCGTCATAAAATGTTTAAAAAATTAGATTAATTTTGTATTGTATATTACGCATTTTTTTCTATTTATAGGTACCAAGATATTGAAAAATTAATTTCTTGATGCAGCTTCATATATTTCCTAATTCATTACAACTAACATTTGACATTATCTACAAATCTGCTATTAAGTAGTCGGTTAATTTTATATTTTAGGAAAATATATATATATATATATATATAGTTTTTATATTAAAAAAATGTTATTATACGCAGTAGGTATTAGCATCTTACATTCGCTTCGCGCACGTGCCTTCTATGCATATAATAAAATTGTAAAAAATTTTATTCTCATATTTTTTTCCAAACGTGCCTAAAGAAGTATAACTTTAAATACTAAAATATTCTCCATATACCTAACTTTCACCATAAATACATAGTAAAATAATTAAAAATAATTAACGAAATAACTAAAAACCCACCCATTCACGAAGGCTATGTAAAGAGAGCGCTAGCCTATATAATATAATAACATTATATCATATAAATGGATCTCGCACCTAATTACTTACCGATTCTACAATGCAGGCAGGCGTCTCTCGACACAGTCATATCTATCCAACCCACAACAGAGGGTTGGAGTCAGGCTAGTTACTTTTCGCTCATCGCATTGATGACAATAGCACCCGCAACCTTATTCGCCCTATCTTCCTATTTTAATTTACTCAAATTTCCCTTGACACCTCTCCCGACATACCATTAAGTTTTTTTCAACTAGGCCAGTTCGCAGTTTTTTTTAAACATACATTAAAATATGTTAGAATTTTCAGTCTTTATACAATTTAGACTAGTTACGCGTTAAATTAAATATATTCTCATATCATATCTAGGTCGAAGAGAGATTGCGTTTTTTTTTTATGTAACATATAAATGTTTTTTTTTTTTTAATTTTGCTAGACACTGGTAGCTAATAAAAATAAATGTAGCTTAAAAAAAATAAAAACTAACACTTTCAAGGGTTTTGTTCGTCAAAATTAATCAAAGGAAGCCAAATTCGGAGATTTCCCTCCTCACCTCTTTGATCGAAGTTGATTTTGTCACATTATTTTATTGTATAAAAACCTTTAAACATGAATCATTTGAAATTTATTAATCAAATACGATGTAATTTAGCTAGAATAGAGTGATATTTTGGTAAAACTTAGAGAACTGAATGTAGCACAAAACCTTCCATTTAGTGATAAAACATAATAAATAAATAAATGATTATTAAGAAATATAAATGAAAAAGTTTTTACAAATTAATATCATTGCCATAATGCAAAAAAAATAACTTTGTAAATCTAACATATTATAGATAAATTATATTTAATTTGCTATTAAAAAAAAATTCAACGTACAAAAAAAATTGCAACTGTAGGCAACTCAAATCTACCAATAATTTATCATAATATTAATAATTAACATTAAAAAAAACTTATAAAAAATTAACTATAAGTTACATAAAAATTAAAATTAAAAATACGAGAGATAATGTCAGTGCCACCGAGCCTTCCTATATGGAGGGTCTATTATTTTTCAGCAGAATGCACTCGGTTAATGGCTACCAATGATAATACGTATTGTGTCTCGTCTCGCGG